CTCAAGTGATACTTATTAGATGCATTTGCTGCTAATTGTATTAACAGGAGGAGATCCAGAAGAAAATTGGCTATATTGTAATGAGAGCAGAGGGATTATATGATGTTGATGCCAATTCATCTATTTATTTGCCATCTGAGGACTTGAATATCAAAATGCCAGAGATATATTATTCCACCCTATTACTGGTTTTCGTTATTATGGTGTATAGAGCACCGAATGGAGTATTTGAACTTTAAAGCTAAAAACTCAGTTATTAGGATCATTTCTACCTTTGATTATTTTTGTATTGTGCACTTCTCCTGCCATTTCCACAGGCTCATTAAAATTTTATTTCTGCCACATAGTTAATCATAGGAATCTTAAAAATAGGCATGCTTCTAAACGTGATATTTCTGATCTCAATTGCAAGTGAAATTCTGTTTATTGTGACTATTGTGGGATTATTATGCCTTAAGATTAGGTGACCACTGCTTGAAAAAAAGGGAAAAACTAAACCAAAAAAAAAACAAAAAACAAAAAACAAATGAAAAAGAAGAAAGGGAGGATAAAGTAAACAGGTAAAAGCGGAATGTGGTATTCAATTCATTTTTTTTAAAACAGTGAAAACATTTTTTTGGGAAGGGGGAGAAGGGGACCTGGAATATAGAACCCATTGTCCCAGGCACATTTCACTGGACGGTATTCAACGGTATTCAGTTCATTTTGGAGTAAAGGCACAATTACCTTCACATTTGTAAATAACTATTAAAAAGTGTCCTTAACTTGTACATTTCATATCTCTATTCATCATTTCTTTGTTCACCAATGCTGTTCTATAGGAACATCAGTATGAGACAGTATCTGGTTTTTTATGCGAAGGATTTGGATACATCCCTAGAGCTAGTGAGAGCATCATAGTTGTCCTCAAAAGGGATAATCAAGATGATGATGATGATAAGCACGATGAAGATGGATCCAATCATCGAGATGTGAAGGCATCAAATATATAGACTTGAGGTAGGGTAAAAGTCCAACCCAGAGTCCCCAACGTTCAGCCTCTTCCCGCACATCTCCGCCAGTGTAGTCTTATGCCGGATTTCATCGGAGTTACTTGCTACGCCCTCAGACCGTCTTTCCGGCAACTGGTAGTAAGGGATTTTCTTTTGATATTTTTATTTATGGGTTTTATTTCTTGACAATTATGGGCAAAACTATTTTTGTTTATGGGTTTTATTTCTCCTTTGTTACACAAGTGACTGGGTGAAAGATGGGAGCAAGTATGGGCATCATGAAAGTGTCAGTCCTCCTCACTTTCACAATCAAATATTTAAGGGGCCCGATGGTGATATCGAGACTTGTTCATCTGCTTTTGATTTGATTTGATTCCAAGAGCATTGACATTTTGTTATCCATTTAATCTATTTTTCATGTCAAATTTCTGCAGAAATGAACCTTGCAAATGCAAGGCGAACCAAGGGTGAAGATGCTACTGATGATGACACCCCAAGTTCCTCTGGACGCCAATTTGCAGACTCTCATCTTTCTCAGGTTTTGCTGTGTAACACTTTTATCTGGCTATTGGTTTTATTTGTTTATGTATTAATTATTGTGAGGTGTTGATTTCTCTCTTTTTCCTACTTAATTTTAATGACTTGTTTAGCGTTTTGGCCAATCTCCCCTACCTGCTTATGAACCAGCTTTCGACTGGGAAAATGAGAGGTCAATGATATTTGGCCAGAGGACTCCAGAGACCCCTGTGGTACACCATGGCAGGTTCAGAATCTTGCTCCTTACTAAAATTATGTTGAGATTTATTGGTTTACTTTAGATCAATCTCTTACAGTCTATGATATCTTGTCTGCTCGGATGGGTGGCCTTAGTGGATTGAAGATCTCTGTGAAAGTTCTGTCCCTTACGTTTCAAGCTGGAATCGTTAGTTAGTGTTCTTTCCCTGTCATCCACAAGCTGCTGCATCTCTATGATGTTAAAGATTCTGCTTTATTTCATTATTTTTTGCACTCTTAAGATTTCTGACCTTGTTCCCTCTATCTCTCTCAGAGCCATTCTATGGTACAATTTGCTTATACAATAGGGAGAGAGAGAAAAATTGTCAAGAAGATTTCTATTTTAGCGTTCTACCAACTGAAATGCAGGATGTAAGCCTTAAAACTAATTTAGCATGAAATTCTTTGGTGCTTTGGTTTTTTATATTGATGACTTAAAAATTCACTCTTTCTCATTTACCTGGACGGACTAGTAAATTATCTTTGGAACCTCGTGGACTTTTCCATTTAGATGCTCCGTCTGCATCTGTGTGTCTACTAATCCAATTAGAGAAGCCTGCAACAGAAGAAGGGGGAGTGAGTCCTTTTGCTTATTCACGTAAAGAACCTGTATGTATGAAGAACTTATATGTTTCCATCTTGTTCATCTTCAATCCAACCTCTGATTAAATGTGACAAAATTTCTCTTCTGTTGCCTTGCTTGTTACCTGCAAGCAAGAATTTTACCTGTTGGCTTGCTTGTTATCTGGCAGCAAGAATTTTAACTGTCGCCCCTTCATCATCTGTCTTTCAAACAAGAATTTTAACTAGAAATTGTCACTTGTGTTCAAGTTTGGACACCTAACACAATACAAAGGGTATTGATGAGGATCAAGAACTACTGAATAGTTATTTAAGTTATTTGGGTTTCTTATGAAATTATTTTTTTATTCCTGTGCAATTTTAGCTTCTTATTATTCGTTTTCCCCGTTTTAATTTAAGAGTCTTATTAAGAGCATATTTATTATGAGTCTAAGTTCTATTCTAGTAGAATAGGAATTCTATTTCTTAACTTTTTGACTGTTCGAACATGACTTACAATTGAAAATTTTCTTTTTCCCATTTGCAGTTCTTGTTGAGGAGTTTCATTTGATTGAAAAGAGGTTTTTTTCATTTGTTATTCGTATGCTATGTTACATTTTCATGAAAAACCAAAATGCCAAACTAAGACAATTAAAGTTGAACGGAGGTAGTATAACCCTTTAAGGCCCCAATACTACAGTTAAAAGCATGTAGGATGTCTTGAAAATAGCTTTAGATGGTGGTGGGATTTTTCTACCTTACGAGATGTTCAAGCCATTAATTTCATCTTTCCAACTGCGTTTGGCACTAAACAAACCTCTATATTATCAAGCTTGCAGGATTCAAAAGAAGAATTCATGTCAAGTGCTACCACTAAGAGGCTGTTTGGTGCAATTTATTTTTTGAGTTGCTTGTAGACAACTTTCACCTTCACAAATTTCAAATTCTGTTGAAGGGAAAGCTTACTTTTTAGTATTCTTGAAGCATATAAACAAGTTCTACAATAACTGAAATTGAAATTCTTTTCTAAAACTTGCTTACAAGTTTCTAAAATGATATTAAAAAAAAAAAAAAAACCTTTTCACTCCAACAAAATTTGAAATTTGAAATTTTTTAGAAGTTGCTCATAAGCAACTCAAAAAAAATAACCCCCACCAAACACCCCCTAAAGCAGTTTGAGACCTCAAGAATTCTACTACTTCAATATTTCAAAACTTGAGGCTGAGTTTTTCTCCAACAAGAGGAAAATGATGATGAACAAGAAGCTATTGAATAGTTATTTAATGAATTTGAGACTATGCGATTACTTTTTCACCCGTGTAATTTCATATTATTATTGATTTGATTTTTATTTAGGAATCTTAGTGTATTTATATTATGAATCTAAGCTCTAGTCTAGTTAGGATGGGAATTCTACTTCTTGTTGAGTTAGAAGTCTTAGGAATATCTGTGTATGCTGTAAAGTCTTTCATTATTTAGCTATTTAATAATATTCAGATATATTCAACAAGAGTTTTCTCTTCAGATTGTGTGAAGCAATCTTGATTACGTGATGCATTCAACCTTAGATGTGATAATTAAGGAACTTCAATCTCTCTGCTATGCCTAAAAAAGACCCAGGTGTGACTCTAGGCTTGTTCTGTCTTTCTCTTTTCATTATCCTTTCTATACCCTTGCACCCCCAAACCAGTCCTTTAAGCGTAATCTGAATATATCAAATTATATGTTTGAATGTTTCTAAGAACCTATAAGTGTTAGTAAGACAATCAATAAGGATAAATGGTAAATTTCAAAAATAAAATCATTTAAGAAACTCACCACTTCAAATTCCATTAAACCCTGTCCTTACCTTGGTCCCCAATAGTGCTCAGATGATATGATGACACAAACCCCAAGAAAAATTATTGATATTCATCCCTCTATTAGGATTTTAGAAAAAATAGTCATCTTATTGAAACAGCGAACAACAGTAAAAAACATTCTAACACAACAAAGATAATAAGAACACTTGAAAACCTATAATTAAAAACAAAAAAAGCGTACAAATGAATTGCTAGGAAGTGATGTAATAATTTAAACACGAATGGGTGAGCACATACAATTTCTGTGGCATCTACTTGAGTTCCAGTTATCTTCAGGTGGACTTTGGTATCCTTCTGAATCTTAACCTGGAAGAAGCATAAGTGAGACTAAAAAGAACATATCTGTGCAAAAGAAAATTAACAATTACTAGTTTTTGAAATAATAAGTTAAACCATACCGATCCATCTGAAGTAAGTATAATTGGGAATATCTCCAGATTGAAACTCCATGTCATCTGGAATCAACTATCAAAATAAAAACCATTATCAATAGAGATGCAGAAGACATGTATGGCATAATCAGTTAATCACAGGTCAAGGACATAAAGTATGAGCAATTAAAGACGCCCAATTTTGTAATCCACCCAGCAAAAAACGAATTCTGGAACATTTTCTACAGGGATTGACCGAACCCTAAAGAATTATGTTTAATTTATGTAATATGTTTCTTCTGAGTAATATGCTGTTTTGTTACATTAGATAAAGAACTTATTTAATTTGTCAAATGTATGTGTCTTTGTATTTTGTATTAATGTCTTGCTTTTTATGAACCTTGTTAAGTGTATGCAAGTGGAGTTCCTAAGTTCCTCATTAGCAACCTTCATCATAGATCAATTGCTAAGTGGTAAGAAGTAAAACATGTTAGCTCTTCCATGTCAGTTGCTAAACACAATAGCTAATTCAATCAAAGGAGTTCTATTTTTCTCGAGGGCCATCGAAAAGCTTGATGAAAACACTAAATGTTTAGACCCTAGAAATTTCATCAAGGTACAGAAAATTCAAGTTTTCATCAACAATAGCCACAATGTAAGCAATAAACAAAAATGAAAATGCATAGCTACCAACCAAATTGACATCTCACAGAGGACATAGATTTGAATGGAAAAATGAAAATGCTTGTCACAAGATGAATATAGCGATCCTCTTGGAGCAGAAACCTTATTAAAAAGGGAAAAATACTTACATGGTTTGAAACAAAAATTTGAACAGGTCCAGCTTCTGCAAAGAATCCCATCTGTGGGAATCCCAAATGCAGTTATCAGTAAAACAATAGAAATCCATGGTTCATAAGATAATCTTATCATTAAGTCAGGAGAGTAGAAAATAGAAGACAGTTACCTTGTTGACCATAGTCACAACAGCTTCTAAGATCTCGCCTTTAAATGGTCTAAAGACAACACATTGATACTTCACAGGGAATGTTACAAATCCAGTACCATCGCGAATCAAGCCTTTCCCAATATTCTCTATACCTGTTATTGCTGCCACGAATCCATGTCGACCACTGCAGGAAATCAGAATACACAACCCCAACTTATTCTCTTTTTTTTCGTTTGTTGGGGGTGGGGGGTTAAAACTTAAAACCAATCAACCATCCAATTTATCATTAAGAAAACTAAGATTTAGTTGCAACAAAAGTTAACCAACTAAACTTAATTATCAAAAACCCAACAGATCCTTTACTGTGGTTCTATTTTTATGAAATCCAATCAAATAAATTGATGGTGCCATAGCCATGATGCAAACACACTCCAAAACAACCTAAAAGGCAAAAGTGAAATGAAATTGGGCCTAAAACCTGGATCAATTTTATTGAGAAATAAAGTAAAATAAAATAAAAAGACAAAAACCTGCAAGTGCCCTCGACATCTTTCATGAGCTTGGATACGAGGTTTTCCCGGAGGTTGCGGCCGAAGTGGCGCGGATGCAGCTGCATGTTGCGCTCCAATACCATGTG